TTTATAAGCAAATTCACATTTTTGTTATTAAATTTGCTTATAAAAATATGAAATTTTGAAAAAATACGAAATGAATCAAATATTTTTTTCTTTAATTTTTATAAATATTTAAATAAAAATTATGAATTTTTAATTATTATAATTTTTATTGTCTTTTATGTATTTGTTCTGGATTTTATTGTTTATGTGGGGGAGAAATCCATTTTTATAGACATTTCCTACTGTAAATATATAAATAATTTTTAAAAATTTCTAAACGCTTATAGAAGTATTATGAATTTATAATTTGATAGAAATATAATTATATATACAGTTAAACTTCGATTTAGTGAACCTCTAAAACTAGTTTGCCTCTAAAATTGGCGCTAAATTGCATATAACAAGTCAAACAATTATACATATTTTATTCTCGTTGTCTGAAGTACTTCAATTTAGCACTTTGCACTCGATTTAGCGCCTATTCAGCACAAGAGTAGCTCGTTACTTACAAGCTAAGCAAGCTACAATTTAGGGCCTTACTTTTTTTTAAATTTATAATTATTTACTAGGAAAGGGACCTCTGAGAAGATATATCTTAGGGCATTTAAAAAGCATGTTCTAACTAGATAATTAAGTAACAGAATTAATTAATTTACTTGTTTAGGTACAAACAATTGACAGTGCATTATTCAGTGGAAGGATTATTTTTAAAGAATTTTTCTCAATCATCAAACAACATCAAGACACAAAAATTCTTTTAAAAAAATATATTTAAATTTTATTTTATACTTTAACAATTATTTTTCTCAAGAGAAATTTTATTATTAGCTTCAACTACTTTAATTTAAAGTAGTAGAAGATGAAAAAAACTTTACTTAAAAGACTAATTAGTGAATTTTAATTAAACAAAATATATATTAAATATTTTAAAGGGATGTAATGAAAGAATTCAAGCAATTTGAATATGTTTAATTATCTTTTATACATTAGAAAAATAAAATAAAATAATTAAAATTAAATCAATTTTTATGAGTATTATTTTGATTAAAATTTGATTTTTAATATTTTAATAATCGTTGAGTTATAGAATTAATTTAATCCTGTTGTTTAAAATACATAAATTTTAATGAAAAAGTAAGGTTCAGTGATGAAGGTTCTTCAAGTAATCTGTCAGGAATCCAGTCAGGATGCTTCATTAACATTTTATTAATTTTCATATCATTTTTTCTTTTTTTCCCCCTTTTTAATTTTCCTTTCTTTATAAACTCTAATGAATTTATTCTTTAGTTAAAACTTTAAATGAGCTTCACATTTAAAAAAAGAAAATTTTATGTACTTAACTTTACAAACATTGAACATCAGATAAAGTGTTTACATTAATAAAACTTTATTAAAACTGATTTTAAAAATTGCCTACAAGACTTGAGAAATTTATAAGAGTTTAATTTTTAAATTTAAATTTTAAAAAGTGTGAAGAATCTTTTTAAAAAAACAAAAATCCAGGAAATGGTTGCGTAACTTTTCCGCCAAAACAAAAGTTAAAACTGCGTGTGGTGCTATCTGTTTTGAGATTTTATTATTAAAAACTTTTTATATTATTAATTATTATAAAATGGAAAAAAGCTAATTTTGAGGGTAGGATGGGTTTTATAAAAACAATTGTAAATGCAATAACGAGCAAAGTCGTCATTAAATCTGATCCTATTGGCGAAGGTGTGGGGAGATTGGCTCCTTTATCTCCCCACACCTTCGACCTTTAATCACCAAAATTTAACAGAATCAATCCCCCTAATACAAAAATCTTCTTGCAAAATTTCAGAAATTTTCGATAAAAAGCATAGGAGTTATTAAGCTTCAAACAGGGTAAACAAAATCGTGCCACACACCACACACTAAACATGCAGAAATTACCCCCGAATTTTTTTTGCATTTCTGGACGTTTTAAGGTGTCTCGAGTCCAAAACTATAAAAATATGGGGATTATTTTTTGATCGATCGCCATATTTTCCTTCTGTTATATAACAGCCGGTAAAGTAAAAATGTGAAGAAATCTTTTAATAAACTGTTGAAAATTAATCNTATACGCAGATAAATAATATACCAAATAAAAGTACACATACTTCCATATTAGAATTTTTTGTTTTTATATTTTTATTACTAAAATTCGATTTTATACGAATTTTTTACAAAATATTAGTAAATTTCTTCCAATGACCTTCGAATTTACCCGAGTGAACCTACGCCTATATGGTTCGGCATTCCGGGAGGTTAAAAGGGTTAACCTACTTCGCGTTGAACTTTCCTCCATGTTAAGCCTATCAAATTTTTAAAAAAAATAATAATCGTCGCTATTGTATCGTTAAAAATTAGAAAATTAAGCCTCGTTTAAATACCGGCTCCCTTTCATGGTCGATCCAGTGTTTCCAGCTAAAGCACGTAAAAATAATATTAAAGTAGCCAAGACATAGCAAATATTGTAGCGCCACATCATTAGCGGACATTTGAATTTGCCGACTAGAACGCGGTCGGTTAAACGAGGTGACGGTTAATCGGGGGTCGGATAATCGATGCTATACTGTAATTTAAGTTTCAGCAATGAGCTAATAAAGTTTAGTTCTAGTACTAAAATTTGCCATCCAAAGTGATCATCAAGAAATATCTAAACATCTGATCAATTGATGAAAACATATCTGCAATAACTCATTAAAATAAAAAATAAAAAAAAAAACTAAGGGTTCATCCGTAAATCACGTGTCCCGGTTTAGAGAATCCCAGAATTATACAGTATATAATGTCTGTATGATATATTAATTTAGATATTGTACAGCTGTTGTTCTGCTATTATTATATTATGTCATAAGACTGATTAATAGTCACTTTTTAGTCTTCGATCTTTCTAGACTTGTACAAGACCTGACTAATAAACGTAAAACCACGTTTTCAAGGTTATAAAATAATGTATTCAACACGAAGAATACGTCTTCATTCAAGAAAAACACGATCAAAATTGGTTGGTTAGAACCAGCCAAATTCAAAAAATAGTTATCAGACAGTAATAGGCGACTTTAAAAAGTGACATCGTACAGAGTAACGTCATCGGCAAAAGACACAGCGATAACTCGGTAATCCGCGTCCGACTTTAACGAAATTTGTTTTATATTGTTTCTATTCTCATTTGGGGTTTAGAATTCTTAAAAATGTGGCGGTGTTTTGCTCCTTTATTTATTTAGTTACAACCAACCAAACAATCTCGGACGTTTAGTAGTACAGTACCTAGATAGACGGAGATTCTATCATTCGATCAGAGAGGGAAGAAATTTCTTGATCCTTAGAAATTTTAGCACACAGATACTATATGTACAATTCGTTTTATGTTACATTTGCACATAAACTCTATAATATAGGCTGTATTATACAGCAGTATAAAGGTACACAATTTCACATGGAAGACGGGCAATATAAAATATAAGATATCTATATCCCAAACTGTTTTGCATTTTATTAACAAAATATTCAATATTAAATTTTATTTATTTTTAATGAAAAATTAAAGAATTTCGTCTTGTATATTTACGAAATTTATTATAATAAACAAAATTATCGGTCAAATTCTATTGCGGTAATAAAAATTACAACAGCATGGTCCGGACCATGCTTATAATTGATCTATGAAATTTCATAATTAGTGAAATATTGATAAAATGTGCATTATTTAATAAATATTAATTAAATGAAAGATAATTTTCTTTTATTGGAGAGTAAATATGTAAATAACCCAGACAGACAAAAAAAAACAACAAAAAACAAATTTATTTTTATTACATCTGGCAACCCGTGCAACTAGAAGAAAAGAAAGATGGCGGAGAAGAAATCTTCGTATCCTTCCTCCGATACGGGAGGAGTGAAACCTATGAGCATCGAAGGCTATTTTAACACAGAAAGAAGAAGATTAGTTGAAAATTATACGGACGAGGAACGCGAGTGGAGAAAGAAATGGCTGAAAGATCAGGAATTGTCTGCAAACGAACCTCGTCGTGTACACGAGTTGGAACTTGAACTCAGGAATCCCATTCGTCGTTTTTATCGCAAACCCTGGGATATGATTTACGAAAAACTTGTTCCCGTCACGGTAATATGACATTTAACTTGTTTATTTGCAATCAAACACAATTAAACAACATTTAAACATATATTCCCGTAATAGAAATTTTTTCCGTTTCTTCTTATATTTCCCCACTGGTTATGTCTATAACGATATATTGCATTCGTAATTAATGAAACGTTGATTTTGGAGTATATTCGCAGATGTGAATGACACTGCTGAAACCTTAACAGAGCTCTAGACCGTGTCCATAGGAGCAAAAAGGTCAAAGGAACCATACCTCTACATGCATCCTGGTACTTCGCGATACAGTCCTCGAAATCAGCCCACTTCTGGGGTGCAATTGGGAGTCACACTGCATGCTCCACTATAAGACAGCTTGAGTAGCCCACTTGACTGTGGAGTACTTGATGTTATATAGTTTTGGGGGTGTGGGGCTTGCCCCACCCAGACGCTGAGGTGTGAGCGATAGCCAGCACCTAGGCGCACGTCTGTGTGCAAAGTGTGTAGAATGGGCAGTAGATTTATACCTGTTAAAAACTCGGAGATGAATATCGTGCCAAGGGTCGACGGTTCTTGGGTTCTTGCAAAATGCCTCGTTTGGAGAAAGTGACTGAAAGTGCCGCCATAGGGACTACCTAGATGCACATTTGTCCTTGAGGTTATATAGTTTTATCCACAGAATTTTTTTTCCGGCCCTTTTTGAATTTAGGAAATTCAAAATGTCAAGATTTGCAAAAATCTTGGAGGGTCAAATTTGACACAATTTCAATACTTTCCCCATTGTGTATACATAGTAGTTGGGAAAGTAAAATGAAAAAGATTTCTGTGTGTGTGTGTTGCATCTATTTCATTTAGTATCTTGGGATTGGGTAATGATGAAGAAACAAAATTTGGCATGGTAACTTGTGAATAAGGGGGATTGATGCTATTAAATTTTGGTGTTTGAAGGTGGGGATATGGGGAGGTTATGTATCATATCTTGAATGAGGTTAGATTTAATGAAAATTTTACTCTTTATTAGTATTTACAATTTTTTTTTTTTTTTTTTACCGTACTGTACTATTCTTTAGTACACGGAAAACTACTAGTTTTCCATTCGTTTCTGACTTTTGGAGGCTTAATAAGTCCCGAGTCCGTAGACTGGTATAAAAAATTAAAAAATTAAAAAAGGTAAACAGGTTAACAAGGAAAATATACTTTTATTTTTATATAAATATATACTTCACCCCAAATGCATTTCGCCTGTCAAGGCCTCTTCAGTAGGGTTTCTGATGACTAGAGTGTACAATAGGAACAGCAGAAGGTATCTCAGACGACACATTTTTTTCC